TAAGTAGAAAATTCAAATAAAACTCTACATTACGTAATTGCTGTCGCAATAAACCATCACTTATTTATAATAAAACTATAGGATGTGTGTTATCGAATAAATCGAACTAATTTTAATTCATTGGTCTTTTCTTTTTTTATTGCACAAAACTCTAATGCAGGCAACAGACGATACCTGAATAAAAGTATGTAAATGGTCTCCATGATTTTCCATAAAAAAAAGAGTGATGATCTCATATTTGGACTTCAGTAGCGATTCAATGATATACACCAAATCTTTTCACCAGGAAAATTGTCGGAAGCAAACACAGTAAAATTTATTGCTAATTTTAAAGAAATTTTGAAGTCATCTGTTATATTTTGAAACTTTTTATTGTTGCTAAACTCGCATCGCCTTCATAACTACAGTGAATTATTGGTGATAGCGATCATTTTTCATCTAGTGGGTAGCAGGTTTGAGACTTCAAATTACCCACATCAATTTGAGCCTGTGTTTTGTCGTAAGCCATAATATACAGAATTGAACAAATGAGACTGTACTCAGTCACTAAGCTGCAATCAGCTGTACCTATAAAATTTGCAGGATCGTTACAGAACTCACTGAATTAAAATTTATACTATTGGTTACTATTTATGTGAAAATTTTTTATCAGAAAGTAATTAATTAGGTTGAGAATCTATTTTCTTCGTGAAATATAAATGTTATTTCTGAATAATAAATAATTACATGCTTTAGCAAAATAATATTTTCAAATAGCCAAAACAAGTATTTAAAACTATTCGGGCAATATCGGCTGGATGTACCTACAACCCCATTTTAGTATTCACACTCAGGTTCACATTCAGTCGATTTCTTTTCAATCGTCGAGTCCCAATATAAACATCAACACTAGGAAGTAGGTACATGGAACTGTTGGATCTCAAATAAGACGAGAATCATGTCCTAAATCCCACTACTAGTCACAATCCAAATATAATAAAACTTATAACTAAAATGACAAACATCGAAACCGCATAAGCATATGCCAGTAGAGGCTAACCAAATATATGAATATACAATTACACGTTATTTGCCGATAGATTTAACATTATCTAACATCTTGATACGTTTTCTTTTATCAGCTGGACTATCGAACTACAATTTTAATCGCATACTGTTTTTATCACACATACAGAGTAATTATAAGATTATCGGGATAAGAAAGAAAAGGAAACTCGCGATCATTTTAATGTAGATGATCTTGAATGTACTTTTACTAAGTCTAGGTTTATATTGAGAAATATTGTAACATTAAAGTAAACATAGTAAACTGTACCATTGTATAAGAAACTTACTTATTTGGTATTCAATATTATTGGGATAAGAAAAAATCATACATAGCTATATCACATGATTCGAAGTGTTTAGGACGGGAAATAGTTTATTGAAAAAGTGCTGCGCTGTAACTAGACCAAGTTAGAGCTTAGTTAGTTTGCCATGCATAATAATAATATATATCATATTTTAAATAATAATTGGGATTATTCGATTAACTGATTAACCATATGTTTAATCTAGTTTTGCTTTTGGTTATTTTCCCTGTTAATTTCAAACTATGATGAATAACCATTAATTCCTGTTAAACATTTAATTACTCTAAAGTTTGTGTTACGAACCGATAGATAGCTGTAGAATCATTGAAGACGATGATAGATTTGAAATACGTCTTATCCTAGTCTGAAACTTTTAGGCAGAGCATCCTGCTTTCCGAAGGCTCAGATCCAGGAACTTCAAATCACGATGCTTTTAAACCATTTGGCTAGACATTCGCGCTCATTATTTCACAGCTTCAATCAATCTGGGACGAATTTATACCCCATAAATCAATCAACAAAACAGAAATAGTTTCAGAAGGGGTTTTGTGGAGATTTCAGTATTTTTCAAAGTTGAAATCATGAGTCGATCGAAGCTAGACCACCATAGAAAACCTAGAAGCACTGGACGGCCGTTTCGTCCTATTATGGGACTCCTCAGCAGTGCGCATCCACGATCCCGCAGCCGCGAGATTGGAACCCAGGACTCACCAGTCTCGAGTCATAGCCCTTAACCAATAGACCACTGAGCTGGCACCCAAAGGTGTTAATGTCTAACTTCAACCGATCCACGAAATTGAGCAACCATTCACCAATGTCATAAGTGAGTTGATATCTCCCAACAGACCTGGTTGAACTCCACTGGTCACTTCTTCCCACTAGAACTCCAGGACATGTATCTTGAAGTCAGTCACTAGTGAGCATATGAAGTTAGACATTAACACCGTTGGATGCTGGCTCAGTGGTCTATCGGTTAAGGGCTATGACTCGAGACTGGTAGGTCCTGGGTTCCAATCTCGCGAGTGCGGGATCGTGGATGCGCACTGCTGAGTCCCATAATAGGACGAAGCGGCCGTCCAGTGCTTCCAGGTTTTCCATGGTGTTCTAGCTTCAATCCACTCATGATTTCAACTTTGAGAAATAGTTTCGTTAGAAATTTTTACAGGTCAGTCGAAAAACAATATTAATTATAGAAACTAGTCAATAGACAAAATTTAATGAGTCACAAACTGACCAAAAAAAAATTTGACAAATGATTAGAGTAATCAACATTATGTGTTTAGAAATTATTTCTAAATTATTTGAACTTTGACCTTTATCGAATACATAATTCGAATATTAACTCACCATTTTAAAAATGTTAATTAAAAGTTAGTTGTAAATAATATTTTTGTATAAATAGGAGCACCTATTTAAGTGTTTTATAGTGCACATTAAACTATTTAAATTGGCGTCATATAAACTTCCTTTTTTTATACAATCTAGATACAATAACTATTGATCCAAATGAACTAACCATATCTGATTTTTTTTTTAAAAAAAGATGTGATTGTGATAGACAATAGATGAATTCTCTTAGAAATTAATAATAGAGAAGTAACAAAAATGTAACTGTATTTTGACAATTAAACTTGAATAAAGTTCTTTTACGTAGTTCTGTATAACGGAAGTTCAGATAAATGGTAATAGATTGACATATAATCTAATCCTGTTGGATCACAAGAGATGAAGTTGAACATGTAAACATTAACAAGTGCAACGTATTGGTCAACTCAGCAATATTATATTTGAAAAATAGAAACACGTCCTTTTTAACTAGTTTGTTTCTAAAATATGCAGAATATTAGAAGCCAAGAAAATGGATTCAGTCAGAACACACAGTGTTTGGGTGAAGTTAACTACGAGATTGGTATTTACTGGACAGTTTAGTTTATACAAATGAAGTCAGAATTAAAAGTATGCAATACAGAAAACAGTGTTAGCGCTAAATCTTATGTATTATTGATAAATGAAGATCAACTACAGAAATCCTCAATAAACTAAATGGCGCTTAATACTCTAGTCATCACCAGTTATATCGAAGTCCAATTGGAGAATTCATGTGTTATGTTATCCACCCTTTTTCAGTGTTTCATAAAAGTATAATATCTAGCATTTCTAAGCACTTTTCCGCTTGTTTAGTGAATGGGTACTGTATAAATGCACATAATTTTCACTGGGGATTACATTTCGATCATTTGAAGCTGTTTACATGCCTTCTGAGGATACACCACTGTAGAACAACGCAATTTGCCGGAAGGAAAAGCAAGGTGAGAGGACATACAATAATGCTGATCGATAAGACGTCAGTAATAACTACACTTGTACATATCTTTAGATATCTAGATATGTTTCCAACAGTTATGTCCACTTATACTGTAATTCATTAAATCCCTATGAGTGTAGTTAAATACATAGTTTTGTTTCCAAGCACAAATAATTTCATTCTTGTTTTTAAACAAACAGATACTACATGACACTAGTTGAAATAACCCTAGCCAGGAAGTTTGAAATTAAGCATAATTAAAAAGGATATAACAAAGGCTAACATTATTTTAACTAGCAATAAAAGAGTACGTCCTCATATAGAAGCAACAACACTAGTTATGCAATAAATTATGAACCATATCTATTTTTGGTACAGGGTTTTGAATGAGAACAGGCTTTATGCAAATTAAAAAAACGCTTACAAAAAAGATCGACACTTCAGTCAGCATTAAACAATAACCAGTCGAACAGTCAGTATAACATCAATAGTGTGTTATTACTAATGTGTCATTAAATGCTCTTAGCAGAAAATGGAAGAAAAAAAATACCATTACAACATTTGAGTGATACACGGCAAAATAACGAATAACTAAATATAAATGAAGCCAACAAAAAGGAGTGGTAAACACGGCGGTGAAAACCGTAAACAACAGCAAATGAGATTTACCATGAAGAGAAATAACGACGAAAGTTACAGAAAGTGCGCTAGACTGACTTAATTTGCTTGTCTGTGTATAGCTAATAACAAACAATATTGGCATAGGTACAAAGTTCTGCTTGAATATACGAAATCAAAGTCCCAATACACACTTGGAAGTTTTTTGTTTAGCGGCATAAAAAGAAAGAAATCAGAATTTTATTACAATAAATAGTAATCTAAACACAGCTGAAAAAAGGGAGAGAGATGATGACGACAAATACTGATCAGTTAAAAAAAGAATGAGCAGTTTTGCAATTCACTTTCTTCTTCCTTTTACACCAACAACTTAACTTGGACTTTTGAAACGGAAACCAACTAGAAAATGTATTTCGACAAACATTCATGACAGCACAAATCTTTTTCTTCATGGGATGAATAACGAGCTTTTTAAGGAGTTAGTTTTATTTAAACATAAGAGTATGAAGTATGAAAATTGGTAGAAAAATTAACGCAATGTAGAGTGGAGAGAGAGAAAGAGCACAAAACTATTATACTTATTACATGCTTTACAGTTTCATTTATCATATTTATATAAGAAAAAGAATTGCATTATTATATTTTAGCTTTGGAACATTTTTTTATCGTTGTTCGTAGAACTTGGAACGACTCGGTATGATCATTGTAATTGGAAAATAAGAAATTTATTGTGTTTTTTCTTTTAGACCACTGCCAATAATTGGTAACTTTTCGAGATGCGTTTTAACCCTGCAAAAAAACAAGCTAATTAGTCAATGATTCACTATGAATATAAAGATATGCTTACTTACAAACAATTCCTGTACGATAGGTATTAGCACATGTCTGACGATGGCACAGTTACTACCAATAATAGTTCGTATACTTACTATTGTTTGACGTAAACAAGAAATCCCCAAAAGTTTTTATGGGAAGCCGTGACCGGTGTGAGGTTCAACCATGTCGGGTATGAAACAAATACCATCGATTACAACGAGTGACCGTCATACAGTATGGTGAATTGATGAAAGAAATGCGAATCGTTGGATACTAACCTATCATCGGACTGCAGCTCGTTTTTAAAATGGATTTCGTTCTGTCAGGTACATAAAAGAAATGTCTGGTGTAAACAATTACAATTAAATAATACATCAAGAATGTCTTAGAATGATAACGTATGTTGTGATGGAGCAATTAATTTAATTTTCTATGTATCAACCAGGAGAAGCAGGAATAGTGAGAAAAGAACTCATGCTTTAAATCTTTGCAAATCTACCTTCAGAATACCAATGGAAAAAGAAATAGTACACAGCGTCCACATTCAGATGGAAAATCACTCAGCACCATACTAACTATAGTTCTCATATGATCGCTTCAAACTGTTCAACTTTACTGTTATATAATTTAATTTACTTAATCGATAGCCAAGCTAGCTATTCACAAGCGTGGATCGATTTTCTTCAGATCAATAGTGAACCGATATAATTGTAATACATTGTGTAATGAACCGATAATTAAAATCACTAAATTTAGCGAAAAATTCGACTGCATAACAATTCCAACAAAATAGGAACTGACAGAAACAATAATTTAAAGATCCAATTGTCAAAATATCATCAGTGAAAGAGCAACTTACTGTGATGATACCATATGTATTTTCGATTTCGCCAGCTCAATCATTTTATCGATTTCCGGCTGGAATTTACAAATAAAAAGAGTTTTTATCACGTCATTCAGTAATAATCAATATATAGCCCGGGACATATTGCCATACCACATCAGAAAGTCAGCCAGTCTCAACGTAGAAACTTGGTGCATACGTACATCGGCTCAATTTATTATACCCCATTAGCACGGACAGGTGGAATTGTCAGGTCAAATCCCATAGTAGGTGTAGTAACAGCATCAGTGGTAATAGAAAACACTAAGAATCGAAGATGCGATTCCAGAAAAATATGAACCAGTGAAATAAACACACGAACAAAACTTAAGAAGAAAGCAGAAGCTTGGAATGTGGGAGAAGACAAAGTAAGAAAGGAAACACAAAATGAAACTAACAAGACGGATGAAAAAGAAATGGAAATAATGTAGAAGTAATTATAATAGAAAGGAATAAACACCGAGGATATGGTTCGAGAAGGAATGAAAAGATGTGGTAGAACGAAGTACTGGAATATAAAATCTAGAAGATGGAGAATTAACGCATCTGGTAAACTATGTTTCAATCAGTATTACAAAAGTGTTAACATAACTTAAGTGTTAAGTCTAGGTTCACGTACTCAACTTTGAACTACGTGCTTTTATGTGTACACGCTGCTAATGATAGTACCTAGTTGTCTAAATTTGAACTAGGTGAAGAGAATGCTTGAACCTGCAACTAAGTTATGAAAATTACCATTATACCAATATACAGGAAGACTGACAATATTTTTGCAGAATTAATTCAAAGTTCAACTTGTTTATATTATTTTGAGAAAATAATACTTCAACTTAAAGACTAAGTCTGTTTTATACCAGAGATATTGTACATAGAAAATCTGTCAAATGAAAATGAGTACAACTGATTAACAATGTATTATCATAAAAGCTCACCTAAATCTACAATTATAGCAATGCTTTCCATTAAAATGACAGAATCATCGGATGGACTGACATTCCCTACATTTATGACTATTAGTTCATAACCATAATAAATCCGTGATTAAAGAGAATGGAGTAAGAAGATCTCTGAATAATGACCGCGATAAATTTGAGACAAAGGATTCTGAAGATCTCTAGATACCCAAAAGTTTAACAGATTAGTGTGTTATAAACTTTCAGTATAATTTAGATAATAAAGAAGTCTACATAAGTCATATTTACATCTATTATCTCCGCATTTTATTAGTGTATGTGTTACGTCGCGAATTATTGCGTTGCTAAATATTGCGTATTGCGATAGGACTACACGAAATTCTACCGGTTGACCAAATTCAGATATACTAGTACGACCCCAATACTGTTCCCCAACTCCAAAATTTAAGACACAGCCGTTAAATGAGAATTGTTTATGGGGTCCGAAGCAGAACAAAAATGATTTACAGACAAGGCATATTTATACAGTTAAGATGACTATGAACAGTAACCAATGGAAAGAAGGGACACGTAAAGGTTATAAATAGGACAACTCAAAATTGACCAATAGGAAAACGACGCGTGAAAGTCATAGTTAGGACAACTGTAAATAATGACCAATAGGAAATAACATGTGAAATACGTGGAAAGTCTGAAAACATACCACTTTATGTTCAAGATAATTTTTGGGATATTCCTGTGAATATCCTAACAGTATGAAAAACTTTTGGGTTAGGTATATTTATAATCATGGTATCTAAGAATACACTATGATCAAGAGATCATGTCATTGAAGAAAAACGTAAATATGATGAATTAATTACAACTACCAACAGAGTAAAGACGATTAACGTAATATGGGTAAAAAGTTAAAATAGTGTGAACTGAAGTGGGGGACTCAGTGGCTACGACATTTGACCTTCGGTTGACAAGTCACAAGTCCGAATGTCACTCCACCTATTTCAGTCTGACCAATGAAGCAGTATCACTAGCTTCCACACAAAGTGAGGCTCAAAGCCAAATACACGAATCCATACCTGGTAAATGAGCTCAGCCAAGAGAGATCACAGTTGTTGAGAAATAAAAACGACCAAATGACAACCCGAAATCAAAACAAGATAAAGTTTAACATCACATTGTTCGATATACATCGGTTACCAGGCAACTTATTTTTAAAGTAAATAGGCAATAATAAACATATTAATAATTTTATTACGGGGTATATGTAATATCTGGGGAAAAACTTACTTGGTAGCGCTCATAAAACTTCGGCACACAAAAGACACCAAAAGTAACTGCGATGAAAACAAAAAGAACCACAATTAGAAGAACAATGAGTGACAGTAATCTGGTACTACGTTATAAAAGTATAGCTAGTTAGAATACCAAAATGGGAAAAAAGAACATGACTAAGTGTAGATAAAAATATGGACCCAAAGCTATTGTGAACCAGAGGACATTTTGTACAGTATGTGTTTAACATTATTATTATTACTATTATTATTATTATTATAAATTTGCGGACTGTGAAAAATGAAGAGCAACAATGTTGTGTCCATATTAGAAGGGATATGTTTACATAAAAAGTGGTTTGTGTTTTCAGCAAATCCCTGCCATTACTGGGACGTACCACAACATTGAGCTTATATTGAAACAATATGGGAATATCCTCTGGGATATGAATGTATGTGAAACCGATATCAATCTCTCAGTGTTATTCTGATGTTTGAAACTTATAACAACAAAAAGTGGATAACTTTTCGGTATGCATAAAACTGGATTATCATTAAAAAAGAACTTACATAGTATGCATAAAGTTAAGAAGTTGAACTGGGCACCAATGTATGTCAGTAGATATAACAGTACAGCGAACTGAAAGTATACGAAAAACATGCATTGTCGGTTTGTCAGGACAAATTTGGTATGACATGAGGATAAAATGTCGAAATAATTGTGATTACTAGTCCTGACAAGTTCTCATTCCAATATTTCTGGACTGATCAGAAGTTGATCCACACACCCACTAATATTTTATTTACACGTCAAGTGGTTATCCGGATCAAAGTAGGCATAGTATGGGGATATAAACGGACATAATATTTGAAAATTATACTTATTCCATCAAGTTACAGGTGACTTAGTGCTTGTATTTAGATTTAATAGATAACTAGTTATTACGCTAAATCACGTATAGTGCACCGAACTTTGAAATACGTAATTTAAGAAAGTATCAATATACAAGAGGTTCTGTAGGCTGAATAGATTATTCTCTAGTGGAAAGTATGATAATCTACGAAGACAAGAAGGTCAGATACATGGATTTATGCAGAGTATTAAATGTGGCTTTAGTTGAATACGTTGGCAGCACACTGAATAAGTGAAAGCCAAAATAATCGTTAAGTAATCTAATGAAAGGATCAATGAAATAGACTGAAAATTATGGATGTTATTTTAGACAATGTCATGATACCATTTCGGTTCAAAAGTAATGAAAGCTAATTCGAAAACAAAATGGTTATCTCAGCATTACAAACTGGTTTAGGCACGTGTGAAACAAATGTTGTTTAGTCGGGTTAGGAAGATATCTTAATAAGTAACGCTGAAAGAAATCCAACAGTGAAAAAGTGACAATATTCATAAATTATATACTGGTTTTAAGGTAAATCAATATTAAATAAACATACTTTTACGGATGCGGCGGGGTCAGTGAGTAAGAATATTTCTCTAGTGCGTATTAACCCTTTGTTTAAAACCTCAGTGAGACGTCGAGAAACTTTCTCTGCTTTATCTTGTGGCACAGTGATTTCTCGTTCTAGATATTCGCTACATTTAAATGAAATAAAACAGCTACTTAAGTTGGTTAAGACTGAAATTATGATATGCGAAGTGAAAAGAAATAAGTATGTAAAATTTACAAATAACTATTAAGGAATATATATATTGTATTGTGATTTTTACCATGTTAAATAAGTGATTCATACGAGTCGTCAATAGTCCTTAGATTTGTAAGGGAAGTATTATTATTTGTTGACGTGAAAATCAAACCGAAACTATCGAGAGCTTGAAGGGTTAGAATATGTTCGGGAGTTATAGAAAAATGAGTAGTAAGTGTATATGATTCCTGATATGCTTGAAGCTAAATCGATTCCGCGGTAACGAACGAAAGTCAATCTGTTGTCCCAGGCCCCGCTAACTAGATGAAGAAGTCCAAGGCAAGTAGGGGAATATATATGTATTCCGTAAGCAGCCGAGTACAAGAAATCGAATATGGGAAAAAGTCAAGCGCATTTATACAGCAACAATTTGTCCTTGAGCATCATTAGTAAATAGCACACACAAAGAAACAATGGACCAATAGCGTCTAAGATAGTTTACTAAGTGGGAAATATGACCTGAAGGTAAAAAGAGCGCGTTTGGCGCGAAAACAGCTAAATTCAAATTTTCAAAATAAAATTACAAAACTAAGCCATTTACCAAGTAAGTTCTGGGGATTTGACATCCCCAACAATTCCCTGAAATATATTTTAATATCTCTAACAGTTAATCATGGTTATCTCTAAAATCCAAATCAGGAAGCTTGTATCTCACAAGGCTTAATCTATTGGTCAGTACACGTAGAGATGAACACGACATCTGTATATAGTCACTGCTGATCTATAGTACCTAGAGCTTAACGTTAATCTGTGTATTGGTTGAATATATGTAATACGTGTTTCTACTATTTCAGTCAGTGAATGATTGCTTCATGAGTCGACTTGCAACTTCCATTTATTTATTTAATCTTTAAGATTTTGATAACCACGAGTGATGCTACACATGAATCTACGATTAAACATCGACAGCCAATGCATGTTATTAAACTAAAATCATGCTTAATATCTGTACAGTAACTAAGTGAATGAAGTTTTTCCAGACTATACCTTAAAGATTGCTATGGAAATTTATGGTAGAGAAACAGTGGATATTTCAATGTTTTGATCTAAAGCATTGATTTTTAGCTAAACAAACTGCTATGTTTAAAGCGATTACGAGTTCACCTAGTCTGCGAACGGAACAAGGACTTGTGACCAAAACCGATAAACTAGCTATTCTGATGCGTCTCAGTCCCGCTAACTAGAGAGGGAGAGAAGTCGAAGTTCGAACGGGGAATAAATATATTCCACAAGCAATCCCAACAGACACAAATTAAACGTATATATAAGATATAAAACTGTCCTTGGGAAGCGTTACAAAATAGCATACTAAAAGACATGACGGACCAATACCGTTTAAGATTCTCCCAAGTGGGAAATACGACATGAAGGTGAAAAGAACGCTTTTAGCGCGAAAACAAAGAAATTGAAAACTTCGAAATTAAAGTACAAAAACAAGATATTTACCGAATGAGTTCTAGGGAACTAACATCCCCAACACAAGCCCGATCAGTTTAGCCCTACAAACTTCATTTTTGGGCATGAAAATGTTTTAAATATTAATAGCAAGAGTAAAAACTTATTTACATATTTTGCAAACAACCTCGTTGTTGGATGATTTGTTATACGCAAATACTAACTTACTATATGTACCTTTAAAACACTAAAACTAACCTGACAAAATTATTTTCTGTTTTAGCCACAAAGTGATAATACATACGCAATAAGTTGACGGAAACAAGAAGGGCTAAACCAATATAAGCAATGAAGGAGATCGCAGAAAGACACATAAAACTAAATTCGACAATCAGCAAGAGAGTTAGTATGACTCCTGTTACAATTGGTTGCCTCCAGTACACTATGGAGCGTACTGTTAAAAATAAAATTAAAATATGAATGGTGTTAATTAATTTTAGTCATTAGTGAATGGCGAAAATCAAGTTCAGCTAAGAACAATACTCTTACATCACCAAAATTTAGAGCTTGGAGAAATTTACAGTTTACTAGATTGAAAATTGTGTACTATGTTTGGTGGTAAAGTGAGCAAAATATCTTTTCATTGAGTAAAGGTTTAACTGTGATTTCGAACACGACGAGAAATATAAGACTACAACACAGGATGTGTTTTACACATTTCACAACTTACATCTTTCATTATCGGCCTAAATATATTGATGGAAGTATACGAAGGTGGAATATACCAAATGTTAATTAAAGTTTTATAACACATTGTTGCACAAGGAGTTGAAGTTAACACGATGAATAGCAAGGGAGTTGAAATAATAATTTCTTTGATACCACTCAAGACCACTAATATCAGATCCCCTCGAAGTTATAAACTAAAGGTCAGTGTTTTACATATTTGGTGGCTGAACTTCAGTTACGTAATTGATCGGAAATCGATGAAATATAAAAATAAATTTGTTAAACATTCTTCTAAGGCAATTCATAGACTACGGAAAAGCATCAGTTGTTCGTATAACAGCTGTAGGCTATTTATTGATAGTCGCCTTAATGCCAATAAGTGGAGCAGACAGACCTTCCTGACTTGGATTTAATTAATTCAGGGAATAATGAAAATTTGTTCAAAAGGGATTCATCTACCGGGAATTTACAGTGGAATGAGCAATGATCTACTTAGTTACTAGAAATATACGTTTCGCGATGATGAAAATCGAGCTACCTACGTACGTGATTCCTACTTACGTCATGAAATAAAAATCACTTGGGAAAAACACTTAACCGAAAGTAATCGAATGTATAAGCACTGCCTAACTAGTTTTAGCCTTATGAAAACTCCATCTGTCAACAATTACTGTCTTACCCTTCTCCGCCATGGGGCAACCATCTGAACAAGCCATTTTACCTGGAAATACAAATGGGACAGTAAGACGGTTATTCATGTGAAACAGTATTTTAAGGGAGTAACAGTAGCAATGGATGGAGAAACACGTCACTACAAAAAAAGAAACTCAGATCTCCTAAAGGAACAAATGAACAGCCAGATGGTGATGACCTTTGAATACTGACGACTAAAATTTGGTTAAGGTCATATTTCGTCACAAAACCGAAGTGACACTTACCTGTCTATTATATATGTACAAGTTTTTTGTACAATGATCTGCTTAATGGTGTTAATATCCACTTAAAGTTTGGTGACGGTACCTTACTCCAAATCTTTAAAGATTATGCCACACAATTTTCCAGGTGTATAGAAAACATGCCGTATCCTATCTGAGGACACACTTGGTGTTACTAGTTTTCAAAATAGGTAAAAAGTACAGTTCCTCAGACAACTTGTGATGCACTTCTTGCCACTTCCTACTTCAAATTTCGAAATGTGACCTAGGGACAATTTTACGAGACTATCTTTATGTTAACTGGAAATGAAGTATCTGGACAGCATAACATTTTAATGAACTAGTTTTTGCGTTATCAAGTATTTGATTTTTGAAGATTGAAAGATCCACATTTTTTAAACAACACTTTCCGCATGCGCAAGATATACAGATGTGTAGTGAGAAGTGAATACACTGCAACAATATATTTATTGCCTCTGCTTACAGTAGAATGCACATTTATCTAGCAACTATTCAGTTTTGTGAGGTTGAAGTCTCACCCGGGCATAGCGGTGTGGAGTACGCTAGTAAGAAGATGAAAGTTTATCATACCTTCTCTAGGTTGAGCGACTAAACACTGTCGTAGAGTGACTACCTTTAACATAAGTTCGCCAAATTTCATTTATCACAGGAGCATAAATATCCCTCCCTTAACGTAACTGAGTTAAGCTAATCAGGCTATCCTCAGTTCATTAATCATACTTTCAAAGCCACCCAACACCTAACCAACTATGCCTCCTTGATAAACAAAATGCAATCACAACTACGAAAATATTCGACAGTCTAGAGAAAAACCCGATTACTAACTCGAAAAAAAACAGCTTGAAATACATTGGGTGCGCATCAAATATTCGTGGAGTCTAGAAGATGGTTATCGAAACAAGTTTGCTGTTAGATACATGGAACTATTGGGTGTTGACAAAGCTACACAAGTTTAATAAGGTCATTAAAAATTAGCATCAATAATCATGAAAAGTAGTAATGACGAGTGAAACTTGAAGGAGGGGAAGATTATAGGATGAAGTAGGCTAGAATCAAGGATAACTATAAAATATTAGAAATGATATTCGCACGCACCGCAGTCTGAGCTAATCACATAGCGCAGTTTTAATTAATGGGACTCATGTGTAGTGTGCGATAATTAGGAAATAGAATTGAGGAATATCGTCATCCAGAATAACTGTTATCTACTTGAGACAAATAGGGTTGCGATAATGGCAAACAGAATCACGTCTGAGATCACTTGGCGTTAAACATAATACTTTCCGCTTATGAAATACTAATGTGAGTGATAAATAAGGGAATTTAAGGGCAGATAAAATTTCTAGGCATGTACAAAAAATTGATTTCACTTTGATTGAACAGAACCCTTGACAGTGAATCAGCAAGAGTCATTACCCAACGGATTATGTTCAGGTGCAACAGTACTGAGCTAGGTTCTAAAATTTGGTGACGTAAATACAGATTTATTGTTGTTACACAAACTGAACACGAAGAAACTATGTCACTCCAAAGAAAAGACGAAACTATTGAGTAGATAGAGTGTGCAATTACTTCATTTCTTTGTCACACAGGAATCTTTAAAAAGCACCCCAAACAATTTGAGACGTAAGAATAGTAATGTGTACTTTGGACCATCAGGTATACTTGATTATAGACAACCAAAAAAGTAACATCACTCAAGTGACAAGATATCAAGATAGAGACGATATAGATAAGACTTATTAAGACATAATGTATAGTAAAATAATTGCAGGTAAGTGAAACCTTACCTGGAGTGACACCGTCGGCCAACATTGCTTAATTTCGTAATTTCCAATAGCGCGCTGAACTGTCCGATGGCGAAAAGTTGAAACCTAGCTCAAGGTTGTAAAGATAAACAAAAACTATCAAGGTAACTATTTTCTGTGCTATTTATAAATCTTGAATAGCAAAGAGCGTTTTTTGCTGCGTTTGTGTGATAAAATTTGCCTCAATGTATTAACGATCTTCCTCAACAAGTTTCATCTGACTTATCGCTTTTTGCTGATGATGTGAAAATTTCAGTTTTAGTTTCAGTTTGGAAAGGACAGGAGGCTTGATGGCCTGTGTTAGTCCTGGCAATGATGGTCTCTCAGCTGATCCAACTTTCTTTTGAAGGAGTCGACGGATGGAGCCTCAACCACGTGCTGAGGTAATGAATTCCACTCGTTGATTATTCGATGGGAAAGTCGGTAGTCAGCTGACAAGTAATTCGTTCTGGGCTTGTGAACTTTTTTGGAGTGTCCTCGTAGATTTTCTGTTTTGGAAGACAAGAAAAATGAGGGCATATCAGGTGCAAATTTGTCATTAAGCAATTTGAAAACTATAATCAAGTCACCTCTGATTCTTCTATATGACAGCGGGAATAGGTTTAGCTTGGTCAGTCTAGTACCATACGGGAGCTTCGCTATTCCGGGAATCAGCCTAGTTGCTGTTCTCTGAACCCTTTCCAAGAGTTCACTGTCTTTTTTTAGGCAGGGGTTAGCTGCTTGTATACAGTACTCAAGTTTAGGGCGTACGAACACTGTATAGAAAGTCAGAAACGTTTTAGCGTCAAGATGCCTAAAAGCCCTGCGTATGGACCATAAAGTCCTAAAACCTTTGGCGGCTATTGCACGGCAGTGTGCAGTAGTCTTTAAGTCTTGACTGACGATGACGCCTATTTCGTTGTGTGCCTGAACAATAGGTAACTCAGTGTTATTCATCGTGTATGTATCTGTACCCTGGTGGCCAATATGCATCACAATACAATTGGAAGTGTTTATCGGCAATTGCCAGGTTTGGGACCATTCAGATAATCTCTCCAGGTCATTTTGAAGTTCTAAGCTATCGCCCTTGCTTTGTATCGCTCTCCATATCTTGACATCATCAGCATAGAATAAGACCGATGACGATAGTAGACGAGGGAGGTCATTTACGTACAGGAGGAATAACACTGGCCCAAAACTGTACCCTGGGGGACTCCATTAAGCACAATTTCACAGCTAGACAACTTGGAGTTCACCCTTACTCTTTGTTGACGCCCAACTAGGAAGTCTTTTATCCACATCAATAGATTGCCTCCAATCCCGACATTCCTTAGCTTATATAACAGCCGGTTATGCGGAACTTTGTCGAAAGCTTTGCTGAAATCGATGTAAGCTACGTCTATAGGTAATTTTTGGTCCTTAAGAGCGCACCAGGTTTCCCGAGCGACTAATAAGTTTGTGAGACAAGAGTAACCTGTTCTAAAACCATGCTGCTTTTCGGAGAGGATCCGGTTTTCATCGAGATACTTTAACAGTTCCTTCCGAATAATCTTTTCTAAGATTCTAACAACCACACTAGTTAGGCTAATTGGTCGGTAATTCTCAGGCTTATGTTTTGTACCTGTTTTGAAGACTGGACTTACTATGGCGTTCTTCCAGGCTTTTGGTAGACGACCCTGGGTTACGGATAGATTAAAACATACACTTAAAGGGTTCGCAACAAAGTTAGCTAATTCCTTTAGTAACCTAGGATCCAGTGGATTTACCTATGCCAAGCTTTACTAGCAGACCAAAGACATCGAGTTCTTTAATGGTTACACTGTCCAGTGTTTGTGTGGGGGAATTTTCATGGACTGGTGAGAAGGGTGTTTCTATGGTGTATACATCGCTAAAGTATTTAGAGAATACTTGAGCTTTGCCAAAGTCATCCTCCACTAGTGATGAGGCAGTACTGTCTCCCCATAGTGAAGGAAAATTTATTCTTCTTTTTGTCCTTTGGTTTATATACGAATACAAGCGTTTAGGGCATTCTATGGATTCCCTAACGATTTTCTCTTCGTACAGCTTTCTGGCCTTACGGAGGGTCGAGGCACAGGTATTTCGAGCCTTTTGATACTGAGATTTTGCCTCGTCAGTCCCCAGTAACCTAAATCTGTCCCACATTTTCGTTCTTTTAGGGAGAAGGATGCGAACCTCCCTACTGAACCACGGTGGGGAGTTTCTCGGTCTCTTAGGTGTAGTCCAAGGGATGTGGGGGTGGTAACTTTTAAGTATAAATTCCGGAATACATCCCAAGCCGTTTCGATTGATGACTCTGGGTCTAATTTCCAATCTACTAATGATGCTGATTTCATGATGTCTGGTATGTTTGCTTTCCAGACGTTAGGTCTGGATTGAGCTGAAGCGTACTCGTGATCGACAGTTATATGGAAGTCAAAGTTTAAAACTGCATGATCACTTTTGCCTAGGGATGGCATGTAATCCAGGTTTGCAACATCATCCTCATAATGAGTCAATATAAGATCCAGCAGGGATGATGCAGAGCCCGGGTCGTACCTAGTAGCTTCCTTCACGTGTTGCACTAGGGCACATGTGATTACCGCATCAACTAGTTCCTGTTCGAAGGAGTTTGCTGACGATTCAGTCCGCAGATTTCCCCAGTCCACCATGGGTGCATTAAAGTCCCCTAGGATTAGACATCGATCACTTCGTGATAAAGTGTTGAGACTGCTTAGCAGGACCTCGTTTGCCTCACAGCTTGGACTGCGATAGATCAAACTAAGTAGCAACTCTTGTCCCCTGCATTTCAGGCGGCAGCAAACTAATTCATACGTCCCACTCTCATGGGATACACTGTCGATAATGGTGAATGGAATAGCATTCCTAATGAATAGAGCTACTCCCCCTACTTTACGCGTTTGTATTCTATCGGCCCTTACCAATGTAAAACCCTCGAAATCAAGTTCCCTACTATCTATAGACGGCGTCAGCCATGTTTCTGTGACTGCGATTATGTCTGGCCTAGTTGAGTCAGTCTGTACACCTAGTTCCGGTAGCTTATCTAGTAAGCTCCGGGTGTTGGTATAACAGATCCGAAGCCTATTTAGGTGGCCTCGTGCTTCACCCAGAGTGGCTTCGGCATCATCTGAGCTGTAATTCCTTTTCGGCTTCCCGTCTTTTAACACGGTCCGCCAACGGTAAGTCCTTACGGAGAAAAACTCCTGAACCCTTTAATTTGTGTCCATTTTCTAAGATTAAGTCGCGTTCGTTTGAGGATTTGAAAACGACTTTTAGTAGTCTAGACTGATTTGGTTTCAGATGCGCTAGATTTCCTAGTCTATACACCTTTAGCAAGGTGACTCCGGGGATGTTTTTGGGCATAACTTGGTTGAGTAGTTGTTTTATCAACACAATGTCATGCTCAAAACGAGCTTTCGGTTCTAAGTTGTCACTCTCCTTGACTCTATGGAGAATGACTGATCTGTCGCTGTGATCAGACCTCGGCTTGTCGACCCTTTTGGTGGGGGTATGATTTCCTTTTACGTCATTTTGGCGTTTTTTTCTTACGACCCGTACCCAATAGCCAACGTTCTTTGGAGTGGTAAACACATTCGCGTCAGGCGTACTGTGGGATTCCGGAAGAGTCAGGACGATTTGGGGGATTGGGTCATCTTTCGCTCTGGAAACCGATCGAGCCTTGCGGCTTCGGCTTCCTGAAGTTCCCTTCTGGGTACCATTTTTGATACGAGGGACAGAAGAGACTTTTTTGCGCGAGTTTCTGGTTGTAACAGTCCTCTTTGGAGGATGTTCTTCCTCCTTAGTAGAGTGTGGGTCGGCAGTTTTTGGACTCACTTGGGCCTGCCTTGTGTCAATCTGCGCGTCGACAGATTGAGTTCTGACTGATGTATCCCGACCGCGCTTGCCGAGACACTTTTTTGCGGCATTTACTATTGAAATGGCCTCGGTTAACAGGCTATTTGCATCCTAACAGCACTGTTGACATAGCCATACACACCCATTTTTACTGAACCGCTTGAAAGCTGCAGGTGTTAGATTCGTGCAAACATCGTGGTACCAACCTTTGCACTCATCTCACTGCATGTGAAAATTTGGAGAGAGATACGTAACCATAAGGATATACTACTATTTCAGGAGGAACTACCCCGACTTCAAAATTGGGCAGACGACAACGGACTTACCTTCAACACTTCAAAGTGCGAAGTAGTCCATCTGCGACATGTTGCAGACTATAGTTACAACCTGGTGAACTCCTCTCTAGAAGTTTCCCGAGTCAGAAAAGATTTAGGAGTGTTGGTACCCTACGGCCTGAAGTCGTATGCGAACTGTGACGAAAACGCCTTTCAAGCAAACCTTGTACTGGTAACATTGAAGCGCATTTTTGGCCAGTTTGACGGTGGAACCTTCCACATAATCTTCAACAGTTATTCGTCCCCATCTAGAGTACGAAACATAGTATTTCCTCCCTTCCTCCAAAGGGATAAGGACACTCTGGAACGTATCCAACGTCGAGACGCGAAATCAGTTCGGGGACTCAAATTCAAACCTTACGAAGAGCGCCTCCAGCCACTTAACCTTTACACGTTAGATTGCAGGCGTCTTAGAGGTGACTTTCTTATGACTTACAATATCCTTAACATTTCTAGTCATCCCCTTAAACATCTTCTTAAGCTTAGTCACAACACTAACCTAAGAGGTAACATCCAGAAACTGGAGATCCAAGATAGCAGAACAGATTGCAGACACAACATCTACTCCGTAAGAGTTGTCAAATGCTGGACTTCGCTGCCTACTGAGCTAGTCCAAGCGACTTCCCAGGAGTCCTTTAAAAGGAAACTTAACTTGTTCTTAAGGACTAAGGATAACTTATTATGATTTACCTAATTCCTTTTTTCCTTTATTATTGTTAACATACCTACATTTTTGCCTGGATGTATTGGTGATCCACTGCTACTAGACACGGAAGCTCGTTAAGCGAAAGCTCCTTCTTTTCCTTCCTCACCCTTTCGA